AAGAGGCAATATCCTAACTGGTTTCTTCCCTTTTTGAGATTTGAACCACTGCAAACAGTAAGCAAAAATTTAAGTCATAATTTATTGATTGTTTTATGACATTTTTTTCCTTACACACCTTTTTAAGGTACTGATTATTTGTTTCCTCTGGGATTTTCCACTTTCCTTCATTCCGTTTTGGTTCGCAGGTAGAGTAAGAACATCTACTCCACTCGGAAATGTATCCATTGCACCGGTACATTCCTCCAGAGTAACGCAGAAAGCCAGAACATATTGGGCAAAGACCAAGTCCTCCAAACATCATTCCATCAGCACTAAAATTCATAATAATAATAATGACAGTTAGGGAAACTAAACATATTTTGCAGGATAATATTTTCAAAATACAGCACACATATCAGAAAACAGAATGAATCCAGAAAATCTGTCTCCCATCCAAATAATAATATATGTGCTAGACCTGCAGGCATTTGTGTTTTTCCTTTCGAAGAATAAATTATGATTTATCCATTACAAATTATAATAGAGCTAAATACAAGCGAGCATGCATAATAGGGGACATCCAACAAACAAACAAACCTAATACATGGTTAGTAAAAACATTGGCCACATATAACATAGAAAAAGCGGACTATAACTTATTGAATGGAAAACATTAAGCTTAACCATGCAGAGATTGGGATGAGACAAACACTTCTTAAACATCAGGGTAAACACTGCATAATATTATATTACCAGCGGTCACGCAAATCAAGTTCTGATCCAGTTGAATCTTGACCATTGGCATCCAGCATTATACGCAACTCTGCTGTTGTCACATGCTCTTTGATATCATCCTTCAGAGCCCAGAGTTCTTTGCTTTGCGCCTCCAGTCTATTTTCCAGGTCCCGTGCTTCCCCTGGTTCATTCTTTACTGATGCTGTGCTGCTTGCAGACACATCTCCCTTGGCCTTAGCAACCTTTGATTTCCGTTCACCATCAGCATCCTTGCCCCGTTTTATGCCACCTTTGGAAGTGTGTTGTGTGGATTCTTTACCCTCTTCAGTCTTGATGTTTATACCACTACCACCTGAAAGGAATGCAGTGAGCAAGTCGATACAATGAAAACAAAGAGATTCAACCACTATGGCAACAAAAAACAGACTTTCTTAAACATATCAATCATCATACCCCCCTTAGTCAGAGAATGACCCTTCTTAGCCAAGTCACTGACAGTTGATTGATCAGAAGATGAGAGACTATTCCATCCAGATAATTTATCCACTTGAATTGATGGTGATAGTTCCACAAGACACTTGGCATGGTGCCAAGCCAATCCTCTAGCACCTTGACCATCAGGCTTGGTAGATATTCGAACCTAAAAATCAAATAAGAAACAGTTAGCAAGGATACAAATTCCAACATCAGCAACTTCTGAGCATCGATCAATATGATTTTGATTTGTGAATGATTAGGGAAAATTCTGAATTCTAATATATATCAGTATAAAATATGATTTTTGTGATCTAAGAATACATGGCAATCAATTTTAAGAATATTTACAAGGATATGAATAAGATGAAGTGTAACAATCATGAATAAACTTGTGGTTGTGGCTAATAACGTGCAGATTTCAAAATGAAATTCTGATATTAAGTGGTTTAATTTGAACACAGAATAGTTTTTTTAATTTTTTTAACCTTTTAAGGACTTCATAGTAAAGGAGAGGGAGAAAAATTGGTTAGATGCAAGATTCCAAGTTCAACCCAAAAGCAGTGGTCAGAATTTGGGAGAGACTGATCCCTGATTAGCACCCCCTGGCCCCATCTACCTAATTAGTAAAGGCAAAATGCACACAAAGAGGGTCAGAAAGCTTTTATTTCTATAGGCATTACAAAATTGAAGAGGCATGGATAAAAACTTAAGAGATTTAACCTAATCAACAACCCAAAAGGCGTAAGCCATAAGGAACATAATTGATTTCAGGAAAATGGAAGAGCTCAGGAGGATGTGCCTATAAGCATTCCATGTCCATGACACCACCCACAAACACAGCATGTGGGGTGGGTAGCCTTACATTCTTCCTCATGCTACTAAAACTTCTATATAGAAACAATTTCCAAATGCTTAATGGTTTTATGAAACATATCTAACATTCTCCCTCACACAATAGCCCTTTGCTCAGGTTCAGCCAACCTTGTGTTGAAATTCAACTTTTTCTAGGAAGAATGGGGGCAGCAAGGATTAAACTAGAGACCACCTGGTCATAGAGGCTCTGGTACCCTGTCCCGAATCAACTACCTCAAGCATTTTGACCATACAACAAGAATCTCAAGATGGAGAATCCAATCAGATAGCATAAAAATTGCAACATCATGCAACAAGGCTTGTTCAAATATTCACACAATGGAATAGTAGCACGCCACCTATGTAAAAAATACTGGAAGCAAACATGTTAGATGTCAAAGCAATAATGTCGAGTTCAAACTTGACAACTAGAAGTTGAAAGTAAAAATAAAAACCACGTATTCTTATAGTTCCATTTCATCCCTTAAATCAGCAACGTCATACAGCTATTACTAAAAACCAAATACGTTATTTTCCATAAGTTAATTTATGATAAACATGATAATAAAAGGCCAAAATCAAAATATTTTCCATCCATAGATTATAACTCATTTTTGCTCATGATCTCATTTCCAAAACACAAAATCCATCAGGTCCGGTTAACACACATTATTTAACCTTTGGAATATGACATTGAGAAGCATTAAAACCCAACCTCTCCTTTGATGATTTTTTGACCGCAATCCCTGCAAGTAGCACGAGAAGTTTGTGAAACTTCAATACCACATTCAGTATCTTTGACAGCCTTTGAATTTGACTTTGACGCGCTCCCGCTCCCAGTCCCAGTCCCAGTCCCAGTGCCACTCTCTATGTATTTTCTGATCTTCTGCTGATCATCCCAACGAAGCGATTCTATGTTTTCAACATCTTCAACTCTACAGCAACAGCAGTACACGACAATAGCCAATGTCAAAATATTATACAAACGCACATTCAGTGAAACGAATAGAAATTTCCGTACAATTTTATCTGATTGGCTTTCTTCAATATGCAAGCAGCATGATTCCACATCTGATGTAAAAAAAAAAAATACAGATTAAAATACCACAGCAATACATACAGTATACATTTTTTAAAAAAAAAGCTCGTAAGAGTACAAGGAAACTACTACAAGCTAGTGAAGTTTATGGCATGTACAAGAAGCAAAACGAATGAAACCCTATGGTTCATCTTTACATGCAAAAAACAGAGGAAATGCTGGAAATGCAATAGCATACCTAGAAGGTACATTAACATTGATCGAAGGCGAGCGATAATGAAGGAAAAGAAGAAGAAAGGGCGTGTTCGTGTTAACGTTACCGGCATGAGGCCATCGAATTTGGACGACTGAACCATCTTGCCGAGACGCAGCGTTTCGCTGGCAATGGGGGACTTGCACGTCCTGCATGATGATCTCCCCGACTTCGCGTATTCCGCCTTCCATGGTTTCTGATTTTGAGGGTTCGACATTTTCTCTCACTCACTCCCACTCTTCTCTTCCCTCCTTTTACTTTTACTCTCTTATTTTTTGTTTTCTTTTCTTTTTAATAACTACTTTCTCTTCTATCGCTTTTCCCTTATTTCATTTATTATTGTTTTCATTCTCGATTCGGCTATAGTCAAGTGTTCTACACACGTTAGTACCCAAACAAAACAAAAAAAAAGACGTTCGTGCGCCAAGCAATATGTTATACAGAATATACTAGTCAATAGTGTACTGTACACGTTCATGTGTTGGGCCACTAAATAATTTTAGTAACAAACTGAACTCAAAATGTACTATGTTATATAAAATTTTGGAAGATGTTAATTTGTAACCCTGTCATATTGATTAAAGAATACAAATAAAAAAAAATTATAAAAGTGTTGATGTTGTTATTGCCTTATACTATATTTTTTTATTTAAATATTTGTTTTTTTATTTCTCAATTTAGTTATAATTTATGATCTCTCGTGCAAATTAAAAGGGAAAAAAGTTGCGTCTTCCTACACAAGGAAATGAACTATATTGGATGTAATTTATTGACATTTTTAAGCTTGAAGAGGGGATAATAATTGTTACTTCACTTGGTTAGGTGGTGAAAAAATTAGTAGACAACATTGATTCCTTTACATAAAATATGTCATTATCATGTTTCATTGTTGATAATGAGAGCCTTTTTTCTTTTTTCCTTTCTTTTGAGATCTCAAATTATGATGACTCTCATATAGAAATGTAAAAATTTACATACTAATTACTAGTCAACTTAGCAAGTAAAAATCCCCTTCATTTCTTTTATTATTAAAGTTTGGAGGGTATAAACGTCACTTTCTCTAAAATATATATTATCTTCATTTTATTTATTTTCTCAAAAGGTTAGGAAATGGAAGGAATAGACACAAAAAAGAATAGAGAGAATCCAAATTCCAATCTTGGGACTTTCACCATTTAACTTTATCCCATCCATTTTCTTTTATTTCTTTGAGAAAAAAAATGACTTTAAAAATATTATCTTTTTCTTTTATTTAATTTAATTTTAATTATAAAATAATTTATATATTCAAAATTATTTATTTATTATAAATTTTAGTTATATAAAAAAAAGTTTATCATTTATTGTTGACATAATGATGGGACCCTTGAGATGTCAACATTCTCACCAAACTTCAACTATGATTTAAGCCATGATATCACTATCAAGTATAAATCATGGGCAACTCACCTTATTTTGTTGACAATAACATGCAAAAAAATAGAAGGAAAGTGAACAACGCTCTCAAAATCATCAGGTGCACAACTTCAAGAAGAAATAGTGCGTCAAGAAGGCATATAACCCATTGGTAACTATATTCTGTTTGAGTGTACTCCTACAAGCATAGTATTAGGAGCAGTTATCTGGTCATACTGATTCATGATTATCGTTACATTACACAATTTCAGGAATTATTGTTACATTACACAATTTCAGTATGTTGAGTCACGACAAATTGAGAATTCGAAAATCCCCAACTCTTTCACAATCAACAACACCTAGGACTACAAAAGTTTGGAACATTTCTCTCCAAATATGAATCATAAGTTCATAACCAAGCATTTTCTCTCATTTCTCTACTGAGAGAATTCCATGTATGACTGATATGTGTTCTTATGGATGCAAGCGTATCATCAGAACTAAATACATATAACTTGTTCTTGACTTCAATTGAGGAAAAGTCAACACTCTTATTCAACCCCTCTTCAGCCATTACCATCTCTCCTATTCCCCACATCCTACCATCACCATATATGTTCCACAATGATGCATGCCAGGACAAATCATTAGGCTCCAAAAGTGAAAGAGTTTTTGCTATTTTGTCAGCAAGATCAACTCGTTTATGGAATCTACATGCACTTAACAGAGCTCCCCAGACACTAGGACCGGGTTTTATGGGCATGTTTGATAGAAAGGTTAATGCTGCATCAAATAGACCAGCTCTAGCTAATATACCTATCATGTAGGCACAGTGTTCCTCAGTTGGAGAAATGCCATAATCTTTCATAGAATTAAAGATCCTTAACCCCTCCTGAACCATTCCAGAGTGACTACAAGCGGATAGAACTGAAGTGAATGTAACTGAGTTGGGGACGTGTTTTCCTGATATGACACATGCATTCTGTGTCATTTGATCAAAAGTATAAAGAGCTTCCAAATACAAGCCATGCATTGCGTATCCATTTATCATTGCAGTCCAAGAGACTACACTTTTTGCCGGCATCATACAGAAGATTCTGTTAGCAGCTTTGACACACCCGCATTTGGAATACATGTCCACAAGTCTAGTATAATTTACCACATCCAATTCAACCATGTTTCTAATCACAAAGCCGTGCACACTCATTCCCAGTTTCAAAGACCCCACACCAGAGCAAGCTAGAATTACGCCAGCCAACGTCACCGGATTTGGGGTAATTAAGTTTTCCAGCATCCTTTTGAACACAGACAAAGCTTTATGAAATTTCCCTATCTTAGCACACCCATTAATAACAGCACTCCATAGAACCACGTCTTTATGGTCAATAGCTTCTTCAAACAACCTAAATGCATAATGAATAAAGCCACATTTCATATACATATCTATAACAGATGTCAGCAAACAGACATTCACCAAAAGATTGTTCTTTATACACACCCCATGAGATGCTTTCCCTTCTCTCCCAGCCAACACGTTTGCACAGGCTCGAACTAAGCCTTCCATTGTGAAAGCATCCCATTGAAAACCAAAATTAGTCATACAAGAGAGTAGCTCAAAAACTTTGGATACTTGAGAAAATTTCAAATACCCCTTTATCATAAAACCCCACATAACCGAGCTTCTGTAAGAATATCTTTCAAACAGCTTGTGGGCATCGTTCAGGGACCCCAAATCAGCGTAAATCTCCAACAGAGCAGGCACGATGAAAAGGTCTCCTTCCAACCCAGATTTGATGACCAAGCAATGAAGCAATCTCCCATTATTTAAAAGCAGCAACCTTTGACTCGCTTTAATGGCAAACACCAAGTTGAAGCTATCAACTGCACTGCCCTCACTTCGCAAGCGTTTGAAAAGCTGCAAAACATCACCATAGAGACTGCGTTTTGAGTAACCGGAGATGATGGTGTTCCAAGAATGAAGGTTCTTTACGGTGATCTGATCAAAAGCTTTTGTAGCCAGTGAAAGAGAACCTGACTGGACATAGGCATTGGTGATGTTGGAACCATAAAAAACCTCCCTGTGAAGCCCGTTGATGATGACCCGAGCGTGAAGTTGCTGCGCCAAAGGGAGAACCTTGGCACAAGAGAAAAAGGCACGAAGGGTTTCGAGAGGGTTTTGTGATGAAATGAGGGGTGCAGTACGCATGTTAGTTCGGTAACAATAACGCAGAACGACAGATGGGGGAGTGATATGCTATGTAAACTTCGGACTTTGTCGTAAGAACAATCAAATCAAAGCATTATTACGTTACCGACAACCTTATATTGCACTGGTTTATTTATTGCAGATTTTGGTTCTAAGAAAATCATTAGCGCCTGTTATCAAAAAGAAAAGCATTAGTGTCGATTTGATGCCCGTGTGAGAAAGAAAAATTATCTTCCTAATCGAATTGCCTTATGATCATCAGACAGTAATCAAGCAGCCAGAGTTTTCCTATATTTTAACAGAAAATAGTGATGACAAAACTTATCCCAAGGTGGTAGAGACATGATAGAAAAAGATAGACATTATTTGAACAATTGTATGCTTCCTGTTCATCACAAATGTCATTTTTCATAACTTAACAAAACCATAGTTCAATTGGTGTTTATATAAAGAAGGCTAATGTTTCTTAATTTAATCAATTGTAAGTCAGAAATCCAACATTTGCTATCTATTTCTTTGTATATCACTGTGTTTGTGTCTCTTCATTCTCACGCACCCGCTCGTTTTTCATGTCTTGGTAACCGCGAGAAAACTTTTAATGCACAATTGGAGTGCGCATGAACAGGAACTGCAACCAAGACAAAAAGAAGGCCGTGTCAACAAACATCGAAGCAAAAAATGCAAATACTTAGTAACTACTATATGGTATATACCTCAAATGATTTCCCTGATCGTTCATATTCAAGCATACTTAGAGCCACTTCACAACTCTGCGAGACAAGAGGCTCTGGATCTGCTGAAAACTCCTCGAGAAGTGCTACACTTTGGTCATCTAAGGGCACATAACAAAGCAACTATGTAAACAATCCACAATGTAAACAAGGAGATTTTATATTTTGAAGTTTGCACAAGGACATGGTAATGAATGGTAAGTAATCAACTACTATAGAAGACCAAAAGATTAAAAAGAGTTGACAAGAACCCTGTAAAATAAACTGAAACTTGGCATATATCATAGACATAGCATTGGACGGTTGTGGTGGAACATATAGCACTATCTGATTCATGGGAGTGAAAGCCAAGGAAGGACATAGCTGATACAGCCGGAGGTTTTCTTTGCGTTTGTACTTTATTCAATGATTCTAGCCTTTTGCTTGCTTATCTTATTAAAGGAGTCTTGTTATGTTTTACTTCGAAAGTAAAAGGGATCATGCCATTTAAATTCTGGCAGCAATACCTGCAATCGAACCAAGAGCTTCAGCAGCCTCATGTCTAACCATTGGGTGTTCATTCAGATCTTTAAGTATATTGGATAGAGCAGCTGAAGCAACTTTGTCTTGCAATTGACCCAAAACATATGCAACCTAAAAATTACAGAATATTAAAAAAATGATAGATTCAAACTGGTGTAGGCAAATCAAAATCAAATCCACAAAACAGTCATCTAATATCATTACTTAAAAGTTTAAATAACTTTTTTTATACTCGAGGACTAATGGCTACTCTTACCATGACAATTTCATGTTTATTCCATTCCAAAGGATAGTTCCACATGTAAAGTATAAATGATATATCAAATGCTATTTTTATTAAAACAAAAGGCTAACATATCACCATGCAGCTCTACCACACCTGATATCTCTTCAAGTATAGTGCACAGCTTATCAACTATTGATACAAACCATGATGTAGATAAAAACTACATAAACAAGTGTGCTTGTCAAACCTCATGGCGCAGTAAAGCACTTTTTGAGCCCAAGGAATCAATAATAGCAGCAACAGCTTCATTTCCACCGTCATTTCGAAGTGCAAAAAGAGCTGCATAGCGTTCATACATATCTTTTTCTTCATCAAGAAGTACTTTCCTAGTATTGATGAATACAAGTCAGCAACCTACTATTTACTCAGTTATGACGAGATTCTTTCTAATAGCATGAACCCGGCAAACCTTAATTGATCAACAGAAGAACAGGAAGTCGCTGGTGCAGCTGGATCAACAGACTTAAAAGGAGATACTTCAGTTGCAGTCAATGCATCAGTATTGCCAGCATCTTTTAAATGCTGAATCCGTTGAAGAGCCAACTCACATGTTTCTCGAACCTCCTGCGCCGGATCCGAATCCAAACTACTCTTCAGGAGAGGAACATTGCCATCTGAACCAATAGCACCCAGTGCCTCGGCCGCCTAAGCCATTATAACAAACTCAATCACCCCAAAAAGTGGGAAAATGATAATAATAATAAATAAAAAAAGCTAAAATCAATTTGTACACTTCGTACCCTTGTAAAAAACAAAATAAAAGGTAAAACAAATTGAGCTTTTTTCATATGCTAACATCAATTGGTAGATTTCGGTTTATGGAAAAAAAAAAAAAAAAAAAAAAAAAAAAAAAAAAAAAAAAAAAAAAAAAAAAAAAAAAAAAACCTAAATAAGAGAGTTTTTATAAAAGTTAAGTTTAACTTTAGAGAGAAGTTTAATTCATCGCCCCTTCTTGTTTTTTTTTTTATCTTAATGCATGTAAAAGTTTATTCAAACAGTTGTAACAGACAAATTAAAAGTAGTGGTTAAGGGGTACCTACCTCGTGGCGAACAATGGGATGCAAAGAAAGATCATTGAGAACTGAGGCCAAAGCAGGGACGGCTTCCAATTCCTGCATTTGACCCAACGCAAATGCAGCTTCATGCGCCAACAAATTCGACGAATCCCTTGTTGCTACAATAAAGAAGAAGAAGAAGAAGAAGAGGAATAAGAATCCATTTAGGGTTGTGGAGAGTAAAGGGATATAGTAAACTAACCGAGAATAAGGGCGTGGCGAGGGGCGGGGCCTTTGAGGTTGCGGAGAGAGAAGAGTGCTCTGAAACGCTCAGAAATTGGCTGGGAGGAATCCAGCAACAACTCACAGAGGAACTTCTCCATCTCCGAGGAACCCAAAGCCACGTCGTTCGACGAATCCATAGCCATAGACAGGTTGTTGTGACACTGACGCCCCCTTCTCTACCTTCCACGGCGTACCAGCGAATCCGATACCGCCGTAGTTACTAGTTAGCCGCTCCTTGTTTTCAGCTAGTTTTTCTTATTTTCGCTGCGTAAACATACTTTTATATTATTCGACCAATATATTAATTTCTATAATGTATAGATAAATATTTGTTTTATATAATTTTAATTTATAATAAATAAATATTTGTGAATATAATATTATGATTATAATTAAATTTATAATAACAAAATATTTTTAATATATCAAATATATTTTAAAATTTATGATAAAAAATTATATTATAATATAAAGTTGTTTTTTATTATTTAAAAAAAATAAACTTTTATTTAAAACTATAACAGATAAATTGGGGAAAAAAATGAGAGATTCGAGAAATATCTCTCATCCTTTTATTATATTAAAAAAAATATTTTTAAATATTTCTCTTAACTAATTATATCATTGTTCTTGACACTATGGTAATAGGAGTAAATTATTTTAGTTTTAAATTCAAACCAAAGTTTCTTAAATAATGTAGACACTAATTTGAAAATGCATATCTTTAAAGCATAATCCTATCTTCCAAGATATGAATTATTCATGTTTTGTGAGAAAAAGATAAACAATTTATTTTATAATGAGAGATTGAGAAACAATCTCCTTAAAAATGTGAGGCTTGAGAGATATATCTATCAAATATGTGTTTACACTATTTAGGGGATGATGGTTTGAGAGCAAGACATGTAGAATGCCATTTGCAAGTGAGAATCAATCAAGGGTTGATATTTGTTACGAGGCTTAGACCTCTTAGGTTGCAATTTGGATTCCATGCTCTAAAAAGACATGACATTGGGACTTGGGATAGTTCTCAAGTGTTTTGGCTGGTTTGTGCTTTATTTGTATATTTCAATTGCTTAGTTTATAAATATTTGTATGCCATTTTGGAAAGCCAAGTGGACCTTTTGATTATTTATTATTAGTTTTAATTGTATTTCATTTATTCAACTAGAAATAAAATGTAAATCTTTTACCTTTGCAAAATATTTATGGAATTTTGTAGTTTTATTTAAATTAATATGCATTTTTTTTAGTAATTGTAATGAATAGAAAGGGGTGGAGAGTGTTAAATCTTTAGGTCGATTTTATCTTTATGATAACTTAGATTTTAATCTTACTTGTTTAGCTTATAAATAAAGGATAATGTACTCACCAAAATTTTTGGTCGAGCTTAAGGTTGACTTCTTTAGGTTGAGTTTTATGGTCGACCTCCTATATAACTTATTTGAGTTAAACTCTTAGATGATCTCTCAATAAACTCCTTTAGATCAAGTTCTTTAATTTACTTCTTGGTTGACTATGTACTTTGAGTAAATTTCAATCAAATCAACCTCTTTGGACTAATTACTTCAACCCAACATTGAGTACTCTTTAGATGTCAAGTACCCTTTAACATTTGAAAACCAAAGTTTCAACTGATAATATAAGAAAAGACACTCCTTTTGCGATATAGAGTCGACTCTTATGTTTTTTTTCCTCATATATGGAGTTGACTCCAAATAACATAGAATAATCCATCAACCTAAGTCAATTATTAGTATTTTTGTGAAAACTATTAAATGATAAAATACACTTTTAAATATTTTTATCATAGGTCATCTTCAAGTTGTTATTTGAAGATGACATGTAACTGAAATAACTGTTAAATAAAATAAAATAGATATTTTTTTAAAATTTAATAGAAAATCAAATGCTTATGATATAAAGATGAGACATGTGCCATAATGAAAACAATAATAACTAATATAAAATATTTGTAAGTTTTTTTTATTTTAAATAAGTCCCATTTAATATGATGATTCATATTTGCAATAATGAATCTTATATACGTGTGTGGTAGGGATCATTTGATATCATGGTGTCAAATTAGTGAAATGACACATTCAATAATTTTTTGTAAAATATAAATTTAATTTATTCAAACGTTGTATTTGATGATATTGTGCTTATGATTATGTATGTCGAATTTCAATTTATTTGAATTTTATTAGATATGTTATCTAACAATAAATATTTACATGTAATTTAAATATCATTTAGTAAATTAAAATAAATTGATGTGATGAACTACCAAATAAATATAGAATTGTAAGTAATTTTTTATACTTGATCTAATTAGTAATATTATCATGTACAATGGTTGAAATAATTAAACTTACATCTTTTACTTACTATAAGAATAAGCCTACCTAAATTTACTTAATCAATAATTCATGTTTTACATCAAATTTCAATGATCAAACAAATAAATTAAAAAAAATTGAATGCATAGACCAAATTTGTAATTTTTTAAAAAATTTAAAAATTATTTGATACTTCATTTTATTAATTTAAATTAATATATAAAAAAAGTTTTTATGACTATCTGTTTATTTGAATTAATGAAACAAAATATAAAATAATTTTTAAATTTTTTAAAAAATTGCAAAATTAATCTATATATTATAAAATTTTAATCCAATGATTGAATCGTTGAAATTTAATATAAAATATAAGTTATTGGTTATAATTAATTTAAAAAAACTTATTTTTAGAATAATTGAATTTCTCCATATATATATATATATATATATATTCGTGTTTTACTTATTCTTCAAAAATTAGTATTTTATTCTTCATGCAGGTCATCTCTTATTTCATTATTAACTTCATTATTAACGGGAAATCAAAAATGGTAAAAACACGTAGTTTATATTATAAAAGTAAAAGATCAAAATTTACGTAAGAGTAATATTATTTTACTCCATACATCTTTACATTTTTTTAGTTAGTAAATAGTTTACTTCATTAAATATGCTGTTAAGGGTACAATTACATGTGATATGCATAGAGGGAAAAAAAACGTCGAGAAATGCCAAATTTTTTTTCTTCTTCTTCTTCTGTGTTTGGACGGAAAATTTAAATAGTAAAATTTATTTATTTGAAGAATTTCAAATTCTTTAAGGTGAAATACCTTGTTTGGACTAAAAATTTATAAAAAATTTGAAATTTAAGCATTTATGAAATTTATTGAAATAGTAGAATTTCAAATTCTTCAAAAAAAAGTAAGAATTTGAAAATTTTCATATATTTTTTCTTAATTTATTTATATTTTATTTTATCTCTTCATATTTTTAATTATTTAATATTCAAAAATATTTTTAAAATTATTAAATATTATCTAATATTAATTTTTAAAATTATTAAATATTTAAAAATTAGTTAATATTTATTTTTATAAAATTTAGTTTAAAAATATCAACATATAATATATTTTTAAAATAAATTTTACCATGGTGGAATCAAATTATCATATTCAACCCAACAATTTAAAATTTGAGAAATTTAAATTGACTTATCAAAACAAAATATTTTAACAATAATAGAAATTAAAATCAAAGTAATTCAAATATCAAGAATTTAAAATTTATAAAATTTATAAAATTTCTCATCCAAACACACTATTATAATTTTTTACATTTTGAAATAAACTAATCTTTTGACTAGTGATTAATAATTAAAAATTTAAAATATCATTGATACAAGTTATAAAAATTTCATTATATTTTGAACACTGTTAGCATAAAGTGGCCAAAGGTGTAAAAGGCAGGTATCATGGAAAATGTAAGTCTACCGTATGGAAAGTTAAGGAAAGTACTCTGAATTATATGAATTTAGATCTTTTTCTTTTACTTTTTTTTCTTCCATTTTCTAAATATTAAAAAAAAAAAAATGATATACATTTTGGGAGAAAGAGAGTTTTTTTTTTTTTTTTTAAGATAATAGTTAATAGAGGGTGAAATTTATACTCTTAAAATTTAGTAATCAAATAAATAGAGAAAAAAGGGAAATAGAGAGTTTTTACTCTATTTGTATAGAACAAATTAAATTGAACAAGCAAATTAACCACAAGTAAACACGTATCAGATATTTTGAAAATCACATCTTATAAACATTTGTTGACAGGATCAATAACAATAATATCTCTTAAAAAATCAGGAAAAACGATCAACTCATTATATAACAATTACATTCGTTCGTGTAAATTCTCTATGTAAAGAGATATACCGTACATATAAACCTTACCTATTTTCTTTTTTTATGAAAAAAAGCATAAATATTTCCTAAGCAAACAAGGTCATCATTTTTTATATCCGGTTAATGTAAAATAAATCAATCAATTAATTAAAAATTACTTAAAATAAAAAAATTAAAAATAATTTATACTATTAATAAAAAAAACTACTCTATTTATAGTCACTTCTTAAACTATACCTCAAAAACTATTTCTATACTTTTAATAAAGAGATTACTTTATATTTTTAATCATCTATCAAACTACTATTTTTCTTTTCATTATTTAAAAAAAAGGTGTCTTTAAAATTATAATTACTCAAAAATTTATTATTAATTACTAATTTTTCCATATATTTTTAAAACACACTAGACATGAAATGTAATTTTTATGCCAGTTATTATAAAATAAATAATATATAGTTTAATGATATACATTGATGTATAATGTGATGATAAACACTCCTCATTCCTTAAGCGCTGGCTCGCACCCTATAATATATAAACCCCACCGTCAATTTCTTCCTCCTCCTTCTCTTTTGTGTTCACCTCTGCTCAGTTACCAACCACGATCAAAGTCCTCGCTTCCCGTCCACAGGTTCGCCCACAACCTTCGATATTCCTTCGGATCTGGATTTTGTTTTGTGCACTTTCTTCGCTTTTTTGATTTCAGCGTTCATCTTTGGGAATTATCGGTTAATTAATTGCGATAATTTTGTTCTGGAAACAGTGATTGGACGATCTCGTGAGCCATGAATGCTAGACGGTTAGTATGGATCACTGGTTTGAAATTTATTCTCTCAAGAAGCTTCTTAAATCGCGATGAAATTTGTTTAATTCGTCTGTGCTAGGCTAGGCAATATTTGTTCGGTTACTCTAGATCCACGGATACGGCGTGGTTATAGTGTTATACGATTTGGATTTCGATGTGATGATTAATTGATGAGTGTAATTGATTCGTTAATCGCAGCTTCGGAGCTGTGATTTTGTTTCGGTCTAGTACAACTTTGTTGTGCACGTTGTATTTGCTCAATAGGAGTGAAATTGTGTTGAAGGAAGTAGCTGGACTGGTGAAGTATAGATAGACTGATAGAGAGTCGAGCAATTCGCTGATCCTTGTATCGTCCAATTGGAATAATTTTGATCTGACTACCTGCGTTAATCATGAAACGGATATGAGGAGTGTTGTCTGAAGGAGAATGTCTATTTTATTTAATTGGTTCTCTCAAGTTGAGTCTAACTGTGTATGATCAATTAGTGTGACTTGAAAGTTAGGTGAGTGTGGGCATGTCAAATTGCATTCAGATTCCTCTAAATAGAATTTAATGAACAACTTTCTGGTTCTCCTTGTTTCCCCTCTTTCGATAGCATGTTTCATACGCTCCAAGAATACAACGGGTGGTTTTCTACAATGTATACCGTTTGTTGATATAGGCTTTTATTAACTTGTTTAACTGTTTTGCATTTTTACATGACTTGTGCTGGATGGAAGTATGTTGTGAATTTAATATAATAATCCTAATCACCTAGCAGAGAAAATTATGGGAAATTTTTCTGAGGGAATTCATTAGAAACTTCCATATGACATTTGATCATATTGATCTTTAGTCTAAAATCAGGGATGATTTTGGTGAACTGGTCCTTATAGGCCAGTGGCTCTGCTGTGCAACTTGGACAAGGAGAAGTACTATAGTTTTTCTCAAGTCTCTCTTCCTAATTTAAGTTATAGTTTATGTCTCTCTTCTTCAGTTTGGTCTTAGTTGTTGATATATGCAATATGACATGCAGTGTGCTATAGAAATTCACCTAGCGTTTTTTTCTTGTTATAAATTTATCAATCTCTTTCTGTACTGGTGAGGTGTGCAACTTTATGATTCTGTACATTGAGAATTACGCCTTAGTTTTTGTTTTCAATTAACCATTTGATAACTTGCTGCATATGTTGCTTCAATAATCTCCTGTAAATTTGGATGCATTCAAACCCTAGCAGTTAAATGATTGCTTGTTTTTTGTTTTATGACGAGTGTATGACATAGTGAAGCTTTGGTTGATCAGTTTTTAATGGCTATTTATTCAGTCTCTGTTTATGATACTTGGAAGAGCTTAACCTTGATCCACTATCAGCTTGACAGCACAAAACATTTATACACTATCTCTCTGTTTATAAAGACTAAGTCAAATTCTTTGGGCAGTGTGAGCTATCATGACTGTGTAAAAGGGCTTAATATAATAGTAAACCAAATTAAAATCTATCTGGAAAATATGGTGTTTTTATTTATAGGCCAAGATATTTGAAATGCTTAGAGTCCTTAGACATATTTTTTCCTTTCTATTTATGTTATTTATAAATCTTGATATTTTATGCAATATGGAGATGTCTCATATCTGATGACTCTCCGTTTTTTTAAACAGTTTAACTATGTCGAAAGGAAATTTATCTTGTTTGTGTTTGTCATGTCACGTGACCATTTGGTTGCTTGTACTTGTTTTTGTTTTAGAGACAACCGTAACAATAGAGTTTCCCTTTTTGATGGTATCGAGGAGGGTGGCATCAGAGCATCATCTCTTTACTCCTCTTCCCACGAAATTGATGAACACGATAATGAGCAGGCATTGGATGGATTGCAAGATAGAGTCAGTCTGCTGAAAAGAGTAAGTTTACTATTACTATCAACATACCTTAGACGGCTAGACCTCCTTTATTTATTTATCTATTTGGGTCTTTAAATCCCGTCTTTTTCTAGAGTGTCTAAAGATCTAGTAAGTGTTTAGAATTGTAATTCATACAGATGTAGTAGGCAGTTGCATGATAGTCTAGAACTGATGGTGTGATTCCAACAGTTATCAGGTGATATAAATGAGGAGGTGGATAGCCATAACCGCATGCTGGATCGAATGGTGTGTTTACTGAAACTGTTGATATTATTTTGCATTTTTTCTGCTATTTATTAGTTCTGCTTTAATAAGATGCTATTAATTCAGGGGAATGATATGGATTCATCAAGAGGAGTCCTTTCGGGCACCATGGACAAATTTAAAATGGTATGTAGATTTTTAACCCTATATGGCTTTTGAACGAGTGTTTATTTGTAGTTTTTCCTTTCCCTTTTCACTTGTCATCTGCTTCCTCGATATTTTTTTTTTGGGAGGAAGAAGAAAGGGGGCAGTGGAGTTTTATTCATATCTGTTTCAATGATTTTGTCTCATCTTTCAGGTATTCGAGACCAAATCCAGCCGGAGAATGTTTACACTTGTAGCATCTTTTGTGGTGCTTTTTCTTATAATATACTACCTCACTAGGTAACTTGATCTTTCATTCAACTATCAGCTTTACGTTTGATCCGAGAGGAAGCTATTTACTCTATTACTGTAATTAATGCTACTGCTACCCCTGTAAGATATTATGTATCAAGGTTTGATGTTTCAAACAGGTATTGAATTCAATCCAACGAGTAATGTCCATATCCGATTTGCGGTATATTTACTAGTATTATCTTTCACCTACTCAATTGAATAGACCTTTTGTTTTGAAATTGTTTTTGGCTCAATTTTAGATGTATCTACGTGGGTCTCTCTTATTGCCTCCCCACAATCTGCCACTCAGTGGAGCCCTAGCACTTAACACAACAAAGGACTGACTAATCGTCTATATTTTAAAGGAAAGAATTATACACAATCATCACCCTTGAAATATTTTTCTTTTTCATGACAAAAAATATTTTTTGTTTCGTACGCAGTGTTTTCTGAATTGTTGACGACCGTAGTAAAAATTCTAATAGATCCTTCGAAATTCAAACTCAAACTTCTGCTTTACGAATTATGTAAGTGATGAACAGATGATCTCTTAACATTTTTTAATTAAAGAATTGTTTAAAAATTTATTAGTATTTTTCAGAAACTAAAATTTATATTCTTTAAAGAGTTAAAAATTGTATTATAAGTATAATTTTAAATAAAGCAAAAGGGTGAATTGACTACTGTCAAATTCTGCAGCTTACCTTGACCCAAATTTCATATGAACTAGCACACGAGTAGCAATACCTAGTCCTAGACATCGATCTACATCGAATCGAGAAACAAAACATATATGCGTCAAGTTGGAGAATTGCTAGTAATATAATTAAAATAGTGTATTACGAATTAATTTTTAGGATCAGATATCACATTAACTAATAATATAGTTAAAATAGTATGATAAAAATTAGTTTTATCGTTAAGTTAGAATTTAAATTTTAAGATATTTTATAGTTATATTATTAGGTTTATTGACCCATATGTTATCATTTAATATTGTATTATTAGGTTCATTGTAACAAAAAAAAACTGTTATTATTTGTAAACGTTTGTAAACTTTAAACTTGTTATCATGTGTCATATAATCAAAATTATATATAATGGTGGAGGATAACTCTTAGTCGACAAAATAACATCTAGGATTGATTTTGGCTCAAATTCAGATTTTTATATAAATTTATGCAAAAAAAAAGAAGCAATACTGTAAATTTAGAGGTGTATTGTATATTTATAATTTTTATGCAATGCATTTTCTTTCCCTTGGCAAAAATGAGATCATTCGTACACTTCCGTTGTTTTTATCTGCAAGAACATTATTATTCATGGGAAAGCCCATATTTCATTTTTAGGGCTAAAAGATGGCTGCTTACGTTGGACAGGGTGACATGAAGCCTTTGTGGCCAGAATTCCTACAGGTCCGAGGTTAGGTAAAATCATTTGGTTCTAGTATTTCTCTTATGCCTTGTTTGATACAGGATAAATCGGTAAGAAATAGGGTGGAGATAGTAAAAATAAGTAAAATTGTTCGGTCGGAAAAGAATAGAATGGATAGAAATTAAAAGATGGATGATCTTACCCTTTTATTTAATTTTATTTATTTATTTATCTCTCCTTTCTATTATATATATATATATATATATATATATATATTATTTTTCACTTATTTTTCATTTATTTATTTTAATCAAATAACTAAGATTTTACTCTTTTTTTTTTTTACCTATTTCTATTTATTTTTTATTTCTTTCTATTCTATTTCTTACTTATTTCATTCTTCTCTACCAAACACATACTTAATATTATACTCATTTGTAGACCAATAAAGTTATGTAATCCCATCTTAAAAAAATCCAGACAAAAATTAAAATATTAAAATAAAACTATTTAAAATTGTATTGTATTAAATTTCAGATTTAATATTAAAATTAAAAACTTATTTAATTCAAATTGAAGACTATTTTTTCATACTAGCTCAATCAACTTTTATATATTAAATATAAATATCTATCTTGTACAAAAATATTTTATGAGTTTTTTTTTACAAAAGGGGTTTTAGGAATTTTTTTAACTTCTTAATTAATTTGCTTTTTATTTTCATATTATTTATGAATTAAATTTAATATTTTAAAAATAAATTATCAATAAATAAAAATAATATTATTCTATAATATAAATTATTTATCATAAATTTAAAGTATAATTCATGTTTAAAAATATCTATTAATACAAATTTTAAATATAATTTATATATTTAAACATAATATTTATTTTTATATATAATTTATTATAATTTTTAGTTACATATAATAAATATTTTACGTGTGTATTATATAGGTTAAAATACTAGTTTCTTGTAATCTTATATCGTAAATTACTTCATATTACAATGATGCTATTAATAAAATTGTTAGTTTTTCGTATAAATTATTGTTTTTAAGTTAATTTTAAAATCTTTTATTTTGTGTCTTTTTTCCTTTCGTTATATATTTGTATTTTAGATTAAAATGCATTTATATGAAATGAGAACGAGACACCCAAAAAAACAAGATACTAATACAATAAATTATTTTTCATTACATTAATGTGTATTTAGAGACTTATTTATTATTTTTTTAAAATTAGAAAATATAAATTGAAAAAAAATCAATCTAAACTAATTTTAAATTAGATTCAATTATATTTAAATTTAGATCTAAATCATTTAGATGTTTAAACAAATAAATACTTACTTCGATGTTTTATATAAATAAATAAATAATTATTTTTTCTTAATTATAAGAGGCATAGTTCATTTTCAAAATGTATTGATCCATAATTTATTTATTTATTTATTTTTATGATAAAATCTATTAATGAGATATTTACTCATTTGTCATAAACCTAGATGTATTTATTCCTTAAATATATTAACAATACAAGTCATATTTATCGATGAAAAATCTCTTAGAATTAGATGTAGTGGAGTAATAAATGCGATTATTACTTAAATTATTAAATTTGAAAGATATTTTTCAAAAAAATTTAAATTATGATATTATACAAGTTATATAATTATTATGGAGAGAGATTTATTAATGACGAAGAGAAATAGACAAAAAAAAAATTAATATTATATAAATTGTACAATTTTATTATACATGTATCATTACTTGTTCTATATAGTTTTTCTTTCTTTCAAACTTATAAGATTGATTTATTTTTTATTTATAGATTTTTGTTTGGACTTATGAAATTCAAATATTTAAAATTCAATTTTAGTTTCCAAATCGATGCATTTTGATTAGTATAACTGTTGAGTAACAGGTAAAATATTCTAATGCTTTTAGCTTTATGGTCTTTAAGCTATTTTTCAAAAACAATAAAAAATAATAATAAAATATGATTAAATTTTATTATAATTTTTAATAAATTATCCATAAATATCCCCAAATATCATATATATTAAAAAATTGTAAGCACCAACTTAATGCATACTTAATGGACCAGTTGGATTGAGAATTAGTATTAAATAGATTTGATTGACCCAGAAAATTATTCTGCATTAAATTGGTGAAAAATTGGTAGAATTAGTTCAAAACTAGTCAAAATTGGTAAAATCGGTCCAATTATATATATATATATAACTTATAAAATTTAATTTAAAATATTTTTAATACAAATATTTAATATAAAACTATAAATTAAAATAAATTATTTTTAATACTTGTTTCATACATATAATTGAACCATTTATGTTAACTTATAATTTTTAATATCTTTGTTTTTTTAGTTTATATTATATTAATTTGATACTTTTTATTCTAAATGTAAACTTGTTATTGTTAATAAATATTGTTATATTTTATTATAACTTAAACTTAAATATTATATTATATATAGTTCAGAATTTAATGTATACAATAAATGTTATGAATCTATAAATAATATTTTATTTTAATTTTTAGTGTTATAAATAGTGTAATATTATATTTATTTAATATTAATTTTGTATTGATAATAATAATTATTGTTCACAATTCAACCATTAAACTTTGAATTGATGCTTATACTAGTTTAATGACTGGTCCGATTTATTAGTTCATATTCTAATAATTTTTTTAAGAACAATTGAATTACCTATATCTAGTGGATAAATTTTGATGATTAAATGAATAACAACATATGCGCTGTGTATTATCTATTAAAATTATAATAATGATATCAAAATTCAAGTCTAGGATCTTGTGCATACTATCTTAATCCCTACCATTAGGTTGATCCCAATGGTTCTATCAAAATCCTTTTCATAGAATTTGTTAATGCTTAACAAGTTTTATTTTTTTTGGTATTTATCATTCAAAATACTTTGAATAATATTTGTATGCTTCAAAACTTTGTTTATAGGACAAGTTGAAATTTCAAATGCATAAAATGGCAATAATATACTTATCAATCCTAAAAGTAAATGTAAGAGAGATAAAAAAATTGAGCTAGAAAAGGAGGGGGAAAAAAAAGGTACGACGGTGTGTATAGATAGATAGAGAGAGGTAAATGGAAAGAAAAAAAATATTATAAAAATATGTTAGCAATTTAACATTTCCAAGAGATGTTTTTGTTTGAGGATGGAGGTGCGGAAATGAAATGATAGCGGTTATTTTTATTTGGATATTGTTTTTTTTATTAGTATTGACTTGGTTGACTCTAATTAGTGTTAGCCTACGAGTTAGCTTAATAGATTCTAATATTTGACGATTTCTTCTAATCAACATTATATATATATATATATATATATATCATCACTCAATCGATACAAAATTAGAATTTGTGTTGGTTTTGAATAAGCCGGTGCTAATTTATATTTTGCTTGAAACCGAAGATATAAGTATAAAAATTAAGGACCGGTTTCGAAGATATAAGTAGGGGAATAGTCTTCAAAATTGGTGCAGCATAATTGGTAAGTCCGGTTAACTGGTAATTTATAATTCATTAAATGTAAATTATCTATTAACCCTGACATAATTTGATAGTTTTATTTGAGATATTGTATATGGAATTTGGTATCATTTATACCTATAATATAATTATCTTTTGCTGTCCAAATAAAAAATAAAAATTAAGGACCGGAAAATCAAGATTTTCATTTATATAAAGTGTAAATTCTCAAAACTGTGAATCGCTTATGTTTCTTTATGCAAACGAAGATGACC